ATTTTTTTTTCCTACAGTTTGCTCACAAACAAGTTTTGTTATAAAATCACCGATTGGTTCATTTTTCATCCAATCGAGTATTTTTCGTATACCTTCAAAAATGTATCCCGCGTTCGTGCTGGGAGCCACCTATAGTAATATAAATTCGGATTCATTCTCAAATCAACCAGTAGTACCAGACCACACAGTAGTAGAGTACAGAACAGAGACAATAGATCTCGACTACTCACACGTGTTGTTCATTCTACTCCCTCCGCACGCACTCACACAAAGATACAGAACTTGAATTTCATACACCATCAGTTCTCTGTGAACAAACCAAGTTGAAACAACTCTGTTAGTTACAAACACACAACTGTACAATCTTCTGAAGATACATTCTATCTTAACACAGAACTCTGAACTTTATACTCAGAAAAACTTGCTTAAAAACATTTCCTGACACAGACATTTAGGTGTGTTTATAAAACCCCTTAAAGGGGAAAAGTTCGTACTTTGACAGCGTCGTGGAATCTCCAACAAAAAAGCGGGAAAAATGTTGTTTCAGTTGATTAGTAATCCGTTTGAGTTGACAACGCGGAATCCATTCTCCAACTGATTTTTTCCTTGGTATATGGTCTGCATTTATAGATTCTCTTAAACAGATGCTGGCTCATAAAAAAAGCCCTTTCATTGATTGAATAATAATTTACATTATGTTTCGAATTTTTTTGAAACGCTGCTGGAAGTGCCACTCGGAGCCTATTCATAAATTACTGATTTTGGTCATTTGAGTCCTGACTTTTGAGGCGGTCGACCTGACAGTAGATTGTTATTACTTTAACTGTTATTTTTAGTGGATACCCATATTTGAGTAGACGCTCCGTTTTATTTTAAACATTACATTTATTTTTGTCTACTGTCCCAAATATTCGAGAAATTTTATTAAAGAAAAATATATTCTCTCAGTTAAAGTGATAAATAAAAAACCCATTACTTCTTTGGAAATTGCTTTGTTTACATATTTGGACGCACGAAACTGGGCAGATATGAACTTTCAAGAATCTGGAATGAGAAGAATTTCACTTCAAATCCCTAGTCACCTTTTTGCTTGATCGGTAATGCCCTTCGTGGCCGATATCATAGATGAACAAAAAGACGAGAGAATTGAACATTTGAAAAAGCATACTTTATATAAGTAATACATTACGACGAGAATGAGAAGAAAGAATTGCTAGACATATTTTTTTCATTCAGTTAATGTCATGGCATCAGGGACGAAGTCTAAATACATGTCTGTTTGAAATTGATTGAAACACTTATCTGATGCTGACTGTATTCTTCTTCCGATTGCTACTTGTCGAAATATTATTCAGGTTGCTCGTGGACAGCATCGCCTGTTTTGGAATACGCCCTTTCAGACTTTGGCACGCAAAGTCTATTTGGCGCGTAAATTTGGGTTTTACCCATTATTATTATTAGATAAATGGACTCATCTCTCTATCGGGGGATTTTATCAACTCAGGGGAGATAACCTATATTTTTCATATATCACCCAAGATCAGAACAATAGTTCGAAATTGTATCAAAAGAATTTTTCTATTGAAACCTATGGGGAAAAAGAGGACGTTTTATTTTTTATCCTGAACATTTACGAAGGCGCAACAAGCACAACTAGCATGAAGGAACTACTACGTAAAATTTAAAAAAAAAAAGAAAGATTTCTTAAAAAACTTTAGCACAATATAAAAATAGTATTTTTACAAGATAGGCTTGCGCGAAAATTTCCTTTTGTGTGCCTTATTTAAAAAATAAAGCAGGATAACATATTAAAAATATAAAAATGATCTTAAAAGATTTCAAAACAATCTTGGAAAAAACGAAAAAACAAACTTTTAAGAATGTTATACAATTAGAAAAAAGTGTTACATTTTTGGGGGATAAATTTTGGCTCCATACTGGGTGCTCCATACATTCGACCTCGTGTCAAATCTAAGCTCAGTCAGTTATGTACCATGCGTGATACACGCTTAGACGATTATGTATCTTTCGATACAAGACTGACGAGGCAGATTTTTTCTCGCGGTAGGTTGCCATTTCTTTCTGAAGTAGACCAGTTGCTATCCAAGGCTATAGAACCCGGTCTATCCTGCTATTTACCCACAGCTGGGGTGAAGAAGAAGAGGATTCATATCTTTTTCAAGGGTATTAGCACGTAAATGAATGTAATGGATTCGACTGGAATTCGAACTCAGCACTCCGATTCCTCAATCCGAGCCGCCATCCATTACTCCACCGTAAATCGCTATAAGTATTTTTAGAAACACTAACGAAAGGGACAACACTCTTAATTTATATAAAAAAAATGTTATTTCCCACCAAATCTAAGTTCTTGCCCCAAACACGAAAACATCGTTAGCAGGAATAGAAAGGGAAAAGAAAACTCGTACTTCTCCTTGAGGTCAAAACAGGCGCAAATAAAATAAGACTCAATCCCTGCGTAAAATTTTAAAGGAAAAACATTTATCAAACAAGTAAAGACAAAAAAAGGTATAAATGTAAAATTTGCATAAAAAGTTCTTTTGCAGGATAAGAATTTTCTGGTGTTTCAAAAGAGGAATGCCATCGAAAAATGGAAAAAAATGACCTTTTGTGCACCTATTAAGACAGGATAACAAATTTCTGATAAAAAAGATTACCATCAAAAAATGGAAAAATTACAATTCTCTTAGAAAACAACAGTTCATGAAAAACATTTTTTCCTTAACAAAAGAATTTTAGTTTCTTTCTTTTACATCAACAGTTCATATAAATCAATTTCTTAAAAGAAAAATTTACTTACTTCCAAAAGTTCACAATTCAAAATGTTCCACTCGGACGATGCTGATTTCTTTACACAAAATATTCAGATTTTCGGGAGAGGGATTCTCAAATATGAGATAAAATCTCACAGATTTAGAAAATACATTCGTATATCAAATTTAAAAAAATTCTTCTTCTTCTTCTTCAATAGCAACAGCAACAGTCGTAGTAGCAATTTTTTATCATCCCAGATCACATCTTTTTTACTCGAGGTCATCTGTTCCTTTCTGTCAAAATTTCCCCTCTTATATAACAAACAAGTGACACCAACCGAATCAAAATTCAACTTCTTATAAGGCGTATGCATTTTATCACCACTGGTTAAAACTTGTGAATCACTATCCTATCAAAATGCGTTCATTTGCAAATAAATTGGTCTGATTTTTAAAATCAAAGCCGATCTCATCTTTTATATAAAAAAAAAAAATTAAAAAAATGCCACGAAATATTTAAACCGTCCGGCTTCATTTTGATGTTTTTCTTTTCTAAATCGTCTGACTTCATTTGGGTGGGCTTATCCAACGTCAGTTTGGAGCCTTTTTTTTTTCCAAATTTTTAAAATTAATTTTTTTAATATTTTTATTAAACCGCTAGACATTACTGGCAGTTTATTTTTCAAGAAATCATGTCATTCTAATTTTCCATATTTTTTCATACACTTCAATATTATCTGTTTTATAAAAAATAAATTTTATATTAATTTTATTAAAAGTAATTTTATACTCCAACATTTATTTTTATTTTTTATAAAATTGTAATATTATGTTTTTTTTATTAAAATAGTTTCTATATTAATTTTTTTATACAATTCCTACATTTTAATTTTTTTTCTCATCCAATTTGAATATTATTGTTTTTATTAAAATATTTTTTATACAAGCTCGCTCGGCACTTCCCCTTTTGGGCGAGGCTTCAGGCACTGGGTAATGATCAAAATTTCCTCCCGAACGACAGGTACTGCTCGAGTAGGGAACGAACACGCTGGGGATTTATCAAACAGGACTGATGGTATTAATTGACACTTAATTCATTATAATAAATTACTATTATCACACACACACACACACACACACACACACACACACACACACATATATATATTACGATTTTTTGCAATTCATCTTATTTGTCTTTGAGTACAGACATCCCTCGATTAATTCGAAATTCGAATTCGATTAATGCATTTTCGTTTAGTGTGCTAAAATGTTTATATACTAAAATTTGATTAGTGCATACATAATATTCGATTAGTGTGGTAAAATATTCTTCACTTTAACGATAGTAATTAAAAATTGATTTTTTATAATTACCAATGTACAAATTATCCGCACTAATCGAGGGATTCCTGTACTTTACAGACTTATAAAGTGGATTTTTCCCCGATTTTGACACCCTAGCTACAACTTTATATTTTTACAAGGGAAGCAACTCTTGCTTCTTAATCTTTAAACTAGTTTGTTTTTAAGTTTTTAGCTCCCTTTATTAATGTTTCTCTAACTATATTGTCTTTTTTTAATCTTAAGCATTTTTTAATCGGATTGAGATTTTTAAAGATAAGTTTATGCAAATATTACAGTCTATTTTAATTTTTAAAAAATTAATAAAACTAACAAATAGCTTATTTGTTGAAAACAGTTTCTTTTTGAAATAAGAAAAATTGAAAAACTATTTTCTTCCCGTTTTCCGTCATTCGCCAGTATATTTGTTTTTTTAACGGCTACTGGGAATTTCTGCAGACTTAATATTTACTTCCCGCACACAACCTTCCAAAACATTAATCACTTACAGTACTTAAAATTTAAAATAATTTCTGTGCTTTATTCGAAAAAGTGCACACAGAAAAGTCTTGTATCTTAAATTTAAATGTCTTGTCTTAAATTTAAATTTTTAATAAATGAATGAAATGCAATGCCGTAGTTCATCTACAGGTTGAAAGAATTTGTTTAATTTATTTACATATTTCAGTAGATGTTCTTTTTGGGGGTGGGGGACAAACAACAGTTCACTCGATTGTCGATATTCTCAATTTAAGTTATATTCGCAGTTATCTCTCACTTGTTTCAGCGGAGAACTGGCTTCGAAAGTATACGCCTTTGTACTTCCATAGATAAAATCAGCGATTGTATGGTCAAACCAAGGAAGGTCAAATAATCGTATCAATGTTTCGACGCAGTATTTCTGCTCCTTTATGTAGAGCTGTTAAAACTTTTTTCCCCCGGTAAGTAAAAAAAAGATTTAATTACTGATAACTTCTCTTTATATAATGTATTTTCTTTAACTTTGACGCCCTAAATATCAATATTATTTTTTTCTTTCCAAAGAAAAAAAGAAAGGTCGGTTCAAAAGTTACGAATAGAAATTAATTTTTAATTTAATTATTTAATCTTTCTTTTCTTTTTTCAATAAGGATGTTAAATTTAAGAATAAAACCTAATGATTTTTGTTTATTTTGATTGTTTTTTTTATTTATGAAAAATACACTTTTCATTTAATTAAATTAATATTTTTTTAGTAGTAAAAAAGTTCGTATGATGAAGCTGAGGTTGTGTTTTTAATTGTAAATTTCTGAGTCAAACCCAAGTTTTAAACCCCATCAAGCTCACAAGATGACGATTAAATTTGATATTTTATGAAAATAAATAATAGTATAAAAACAAGAAAGTGTAGTATACTTGTTTTTATTTATTTGCTAGTTCTAGTTTATTCATAAATTTTTAAAAAAAAATATTTATTTTTACAATTGCTTTTATTTTAAGTACAGTACTACTCTCTATCCATTCGATGAAGAAAGTTTATTTAATAAATAAATAATGATTTTGTTTTTGTTTCTCTGCCCGTAACATTTTTCAAGGTAAGAACTAATCCAGAAAAATATCTTTATCCTCTGTTTAGACTAGTTGGGTTTTTTTTACCGACCCGACGACGGTGGTCAGGTAGAGAATATGACACATGGTTTCACGTGGTTTCAATGTGGAAGTATTTTTACCCGACCTCCCAACTGAGGTAGGATGATGAGACACAAGAAGGTCGATTTTTTTTTTTTTTTTTTTAGGTGGAGGAACCTTTACACATTCGTATGCGTATGGACAAAGGACAAAAATAAAATCCTCCAGTCCCCGCGACCATTGTCACACTGGCGTCGTCATTACACTGAGGACAGTGCTGCCGCTAGGTTGGAACCCAGGGACCGGGCGCTTTCTCATAAAATGAGGAGAACAGTTTTTTACTCTCTACTTCTGGATAAAATCAAACTTCTGTACCAGGAAAAGTTTCATTAGCGTAGTTGCTCACATCGCCGTCAGTCAATTCAGTCAGTCAGTATGTGCCATGCGTGATACACGCTTAGGCGATCACGTGTGTTTCGATACATAACTGACGAGGCAGATTTTTTCTCGCAGTAGGTTGCCATTTCTTTCTGCGGTAGACCAGTTGCCATCCAAGTCTATAGAACTCTGTCTGTCCTGCTATTTACCCATAGCTTGGGGGGAGAGAAGAAGAGGATTCATACCCTTTCCCAAAGGTATTAGCACACACGTGAATGTAAAGGATTCGACAGGAATTCGAACTCGGTTCTCCGATTCCTCAATCCGAGCGACTATAACAAACACACTTTGAGTAAAGTCATTTGCTTCAAGACACATCATTAGTGATTTTTCTCAGCGAACCTTAGATGTGGCACAAGGCTATAAATATGGAGCATACAGTGAGGATTGAAATCATTACTCAATTTTAATTTGTGTTATATATATTTTTTAAACCTTTCACTTCAAGTAAGGTTATAAAGCCACTAAGACACAAGGGGTTACTGAGTGTTAGAGTGTAGCAGAAAAACGATTTACACATATAGATAACAAATTAAATTTATACATTTTTAATTTCAAGCTAATAAATTAAATTTAATAATTCTAGTAAGCAAAATACTTTTTTCTATTTAAAAACTAATTTAACTAATATATATATATATATACACACACACAAGGTCAAGTAAAAACATTATCTGCATTTTTGGCATAACATATCTACGTTATAAGTGCAGATAATTTGACTTTCCCTCATGCACTAAATAAATGGTAAGACAGAGAAATTATAAATGATAAGTTTCATTTCAAGAAATCTTGGGTTGTATTTTTCATATTTAATAATGCTTACATACACAGTTGTTATATTACAAAGGTTAATCACTATTTTTTAAACTAATTTTAAATATACATCAACGTCATCCCTTTGACTTTTGTAATCATAGGGGAGATCACCCTGGTTGACCATATCTTCAAGGGTGTAGCCCATGGCGTTCTATACTCCAGGCCAAGTCATGGCGCAACTGAGAGCCAGAACTGGAGGCCTATTGAAAAATGTAGGATTTTCAGAAATTTTAGAAGAAAATGAAGTCAACCACTTTTTGAAATACTTAGAATAACATTTTTATTCACACCTGCGGATAATAGGATGTGTTGAAAGATAAATAAATGAAAATATGTATTTTTGCTATGAACACTGATAATTATTAAACAACACAAAGGGGTAATTATGATTTCTGGTAAAAGATATATTGAATCAGAAATTTATATTATTTACAGGTGTCACTGAATCCTTTATTCAATCTATTCCTGTGAGTGAATAAAGACTTTGGTTTAAATTTACATTACAGTTACTGGGTTTGACAAACAGAACCCAAGAAGGCTGGAAGACATCAGCCAAAGTGTGTATATAACAATCAATCATCACAGAAATATAGACAAATAAAACAAAATCATTCTAGGAAAGTTTCAAAACTTTTTAGAGCTGGTTCTTTTTCTGATCTAGGGTGTGCCATGTTTGCAAAAAATTTTTCAAAACTATATTTGCAAAAATAGAAGCACGCTTTTTCTCCATGTTGAAAAAATGAAACTCAGAATTAAGCATAAAAATGTTACTTAATGATTTATAGCAAACCTTTTCCATTATTGTATGGAAAAGGATGAAACAAAAAAATAACCATTGACAAGTGTGGTCAGAAGGAACTTTTAGTTTTCCACGGTCAATTAAATTGGTATATTTTCTATACTTTTCATAATAAAAATGGGTTTCACATTCACTGGGTTGATTATCATTTCTTGTAATATACCCAGCTATGTACACAAGAGCCATTTTTATTTCATTGGAAAGAGATGGTTCTAAATTTTCCAGATTGTCAAATATTTCTGAACCTTCCTCACAAAGTTTATAATCACAAGATGTACATTGGTGACCTGGATTAACATCAAATTCATCAATATTTACATTTTGATTTAAAAGTAAAGATGTCTGCTTAATATGCAGCTTTTCAATACATTGTTGAACATTTACAAAATAGGTGCCACTTGATCCTTGGCAAAGTTTACCAAATTCTTTTTCTAATGGATCAGTTGAAAATTGCCCAAGTAGTACATATTTATGACTTGTAGCTAAAAGGTGTCAACATAGACTTACAATTCCATTGCAAATATGATGTATGGCAGTAGCAGTGTTTTGGGATAATTGTTTTTTATGATTACCTTGACTGCCAGCCATATTAAGAGCTATTTTACCAAATTCAATGATAAAATCAAGTCGGGTGTCATTTGGAGATTTGATTTCAGCTTGTAGAGGATCATTATGTAATTTATCAATTTGAAGGCATTTAACATTTAAAATTTTCCACCATGTCAAAACCTTGTTTATGAAGAGGGCAGTATCATTCTTACCTGCACTTATTTCAGACTGAGTGAGAAGTGCATTATATGTTTTTTCAGAAAACACTCTGAGACAAGTAGAAACCCATTGTCTTTCTATTGGCTTTGGAGCAATGGAAATTTCATTTAAATCTGAAAGTTTGACTAGTCTTTCAGATTCAAAACGATATAACTGTTTAAGATGTGTCCATTTTGCAACTCGACTTCCTCCATCATCATCAAAGATTAGTTCTCCTGTTTTTTCTGTCAGCCACAAATTGCGAATATTTTTCAACAGATGAACATAATCAAAAAGCAAATGTTTATTATCTTCAGTCAACCAAGGTTTTTCAGGACGTGTAGGATATAATTTAAAAAAATCTTGATTTACGCGGTCGCCATCACGTATAATAGCCTTTACATCAGCTGGTACAGATGTGATGGTTTGGACTGTTAACTCAATTTGTTCAAATAAAAAGGCGGATGTTAATTTTGTTAGTTTTGTAAGAAAATTTGGACCCACATTGCGACATATCAACATTATACCAAGTACTGTTTGAGCAAGTACAGGTGGATTGTCAACTGATTTACCAAATAGTTGTTTGCCATGATATAGGAACATCTTTTTGATATATACTTCATCATGGAGAATCATGCACCCTTTTTGACTGGTATTAAGAGTATTAAATATAGATAACAAAAAAGATTTTTCATTAAGTTTTGAAACTTTTGACGTCATCCTTCATAATGTTGCTAATGAGGGTAATTGAAAATCATATCTTAATTCATTATACAATGTCCGTGATCTTGCATAGTACCCAAAAGCCTGCACAACTATATCTGAGCTGTATTTTATTCCAACCATTTTGGGAGCCATTGCTAAAAATTGTTAACTCAGGATATTTTTCTTGTGATCAAAAGCCATAGAATTTAAATATCGGATGATTTCTTCCAGTTTTGACCAAGTATCAACTGTATTTATATGATTTTGGACAGGCTGCTAATATAACACTTAACTCCATAATGAAATGTTTTCAAAGCGCAAATTGTTATAAATTTTCAACATAAAAGAGGAATACCATCAATAGATTTTGATAATTGAACAGTTAAAATATTTTCATCCAAAAATGCTACAACTGGACATATAAAGTCTTTTTTTTGTTGTTAATCAGACTTTCTTTCAAATTTGTATAATTTTATCTAATTCTAAAAAAGCATTAAGTTCATCAGCAATTTGATTTCTAATAGTACTGGAGTTTTTTTTATATTCCTTTGAACAGCTGAGGGTGTTGGTATTTGACTACTTGGCACACAGCATCACCCATACAGATGGTGGATTTTTGGACGTATTTTTCCATTAACTTTTATGGTATCAAAATTTGAAGGCCAATGTTGTTTACTTTAAAACTTTATATTAAATTTAAAAACATTCATAAGTAGCCTTTCCTTTAGTTTGGTTATTTTAATACGCTTTAAACTATATTAATAAATATAATATATATAACTTTTTTTTTACCTTGAAAAACAAAACGATTAAAAATAAAATAAAAATAATGCATTTTGTCCTTTAACAACAATATCAGAAAAATATTAAAATAAATAAAATGGTATTATTATTCTTGTAAAATAAATTTTGTAGTCAAAAGGCGTAAAAAAGGAAACCTTTCTAAAAAAAAAAAATAATTAAAATATTGACATTCTGCATGTAATAAATTTATTATTGTTATTTTTTTTTTTAATTCTAATAAGTAAAAAAATACTTACAGTTTTCACCAATTATTGGTAACTAATGTAGTAAAAATAATCATTTATTCTTTAACTTCGGAAACAAAAGCGCGAAGAAATTCGTTTGTTTTTTTTGTTATTTTTTTATACTTTTAAATGGAAATGTTGGATAAAAAAGTTTTAATAGAGAAATCTTAATGAACCTTTCTCTATTAAAATTTTATTCAAATTTATTATTCAAACTTAAACTTTTAATAGAAAAATGTTGACTTATGCTAATTTTTTATCATGGTTAAAAACTTGAGAAAATTAAACTTTAATTTCGTTGACGTTATGTTTTTTTCACTCATAACAATGTTTTTTTTTTTTTTTTAGCGATATCAAAAATAAATATCAAATTAAGTAATGACATTGAATTTATGAAAAAAAAATTTAATTAATTCATTTTATAATAAAAATAGTTTTCTTTACGTCTTTGAAGAAACTAAATTCTGTTCAAATTTGTTAAACGTTGTTTTGTTTTGCTTCTTAAAATAACACAAATTACTAAAAAAGAATTGCATTTTTTTATCAATAAATAATTCTTTAAACTTTAATCAAAAAATGTTGAACAAACTTTAAGAAGGAAAATGCCAAAAATGAATTAAACTTTAATTTAAAAATGTTATTGTTAAAGGCTTTTTAAACTTAAGTAAATCTTTTTGTGCGAGTAAATTTAAGCACCAAAGTTTACTTTTTACAATTTAAATATAGTATGGACTCAAACTAAAATAATCAAATATACTTACTTCAAATAAATGATATCCCAACCAAAGGTAAAATTAAAAGATTCCTTTGAATTTCTCGAGCCAACAACATAAGAGTAGACAGTACGCAGCAGTTCGCTCAAACTGAAACTAACGATCTAATTGTCAGCCGGCCTCCAGTCTATCGAGGTAGCAGCGTTACATAGAGGCCTGTTAATATAGAACGCCATGGTGTAGCCATATTCACAATACTTGGCCAATTGCAGGTTGGTTAGGCTAGTTAACACATAGTTGGAAAGTTTGAATTCGGAGTCCTTTTAGATTGGTTGCCAACCTGGACTATAGGACCCAGCTGCTATTTGCTCATAGTTGGAGGGAGGGAAGAGATGGATTCAAGCCTTTCCCAGGGGTATTTGCACATTTTTGAACGTAACAAGCTCGGCTGGAATTTGGATTCGGCTCTCCAATTCCACAATCCGAGCACCTACTGTGCCTCCAGAATTTAAAAAAACTGATCTTACACATCATACTCACTCTATCAGTAACCCCCTGACCTACTTCAGAAGGCAGCAAGCCCTTACCTCAATCACAACACTACAAAAATACATGCACAATGTGTTAGATTGTGCCATGCTGTGTCTACCGATCAAGTCACTCCACATGTGTTCACTTATTGATATTAGTCACATGCTCACCTAAACTAATTTAACTGCCATAAGTTTCTGTTGTTACTGTCACTCAACAGTAGGTCACTGTCTTATGTTAATTTTCCACTTGATGTTCTCTCTTGATCTGGGGAGAGATGATGTTGGGAGGGAGTACACATAAAATTGTGTCTTCATAAAATGTAAAGAAAAGTTCTAATTTATAATATATTTTTTAACAATATAAGATATTAAATATAAAAGTGTCTTTAATTGCTTTGTTGGTTGTTTATTTCAGGCAGCAAGTACGTCATCTTGATGATGAATTTGCCTACCAGAAATCCACCTTAAACTTATTAAGCAAGGAAGAAGATGCTGAGCTCTTGATTGAAGCATACAGTCCCCTGGGATTCCGTTTCAACAATAACATTCATGTCTTTGGGCCATGTGCTGTTTTTCCTCGTTCATTACTTCACTGGAATGTACGTTTTTTTTTTTTCCATTTTTTATCAAAGGAATGTTTTTATTATAATCTTTTATAAAAAAATATATATATATATATATATATATATATATATATATATATATATATTATATTTATTATAAAAGATTATAATAAAAACATGTTGAAATTGCTACACAAAAGCTTTCATGTTTCAATACTTTGATTGTACTTCTTCAGGCGATGCTAAGTAACAAGTGATTAAATGATTTTTAAGGAAATTTAAAAACAAAGCCTCTTTTCCAAAAGTTAAAAAATGGGTGTGGGGACATAAGATCAAAATTAAAAATAGACTTGTGGGTATGTCTTGATTAAACAATTAAATGCCAGATCTATACTAAATAGAAAAGTAACCTCAGAGGGTGAAGGTGGG